TGAACTAAACTTAGTATAATGTAGGACCACACACATCAACATCAACATAATAACGCCCGCACGCCATGAACAATTATTGAATATATTTATTTTCTTTCTCGCGTTATTCCTCCATGATTTTCGATTTGCCGTGCCCCCGATTTTACTCTCGTTCCCTCTCGCTGCTGTTATCTGCCCATCTGCCTCCTCAATATCTTGGAATTTTCGGTGCGGTGTTGGGAACCTGTTAAGGAGATTCTATCCTTTACGTCGTTCCTTCGAATTGTTGGACCTTTTCTCGCAGTAAGTAAACTCGCCTGGAATCTGTACAAATAGCTTTTCCAGTTTTATTTACGGTCCTTTATTATTTATAAATCCCATGGCTCGCAGTCGGTATTCGTTCCGGTAAAACAAACACTTGCAGCTGATTGGAAGCGGATAGACGCAGTTCCGCTATACAGGGTGTTATTGAAATGATCACATGGTATTTGGGTGATATGTGTAAATGACATCATGTAATTAAATGAGTGAATTTCAATGTCCCAAAGTTGCAGTGGTACGATTTTTGACTGGAGAGCCACTTCCAATTGGATAGTGGTTGGTTTTTTGTATTTACCAGAACGGTTTGCGATTTTTTTATTTGCCTATAATCTGACGCATGTGCGCTATAAATTAAGAGGTGACGCTACATTTGTCATTCGTCTGTTCGTGTCTTCTGTTGTCTGGGATTAACGTGCATTTTATTCATATGGGAACGGGAAGGATCGAGAATTTTGAAGAAATGAATACTAAGGAACCGAGTATTGTATTGAGCACCATGTACTAAGTACTTTTCAATTTGTTTTCGCGATTTGAAAAGAATAACGATTTATCGTATGAGCCATTAGAGTCGCTCTAGCTCAATCTAGTATTATTACTTATCCTGCTTAGAAAACATAACTTTGCTCAATATTTTTGTATATAAATACTTGAAATATCTTAATTTTCTTAAGCGGTTAATGTTTTAAACTATTGAATAAATTTGGATAAATATACTCCTATAATAATAAGATGCTAAATTATTAAATAAAAAACTTACGAAAAACGGTGAAGATATATTTTGTGAACCAAATAACAAATGTCTTAACGAAGATTCTATTTCCCTAGTTATGTTCTTTGTCTAAATTGCACTTGTTCTGACCTATGGGCGTTATTTCCAATTTGATTGTAAATTGTGTTGATTTTGAAACATTTCTGTGATCCAGTTCGCGGTGTCCGCTTTGTTTGGTGTGGTCAGATATGACCTTATATGTAATTTTATTATTTTTAGAAGGCTTAGAATGTAAGTAACATTTATTAATATTATTATTATTATTAACCAGTTTTATCCTAAGTAGCCTTCTACTTTTAGTTTGGTTTGATTTTTCGATATTTAAGATTTAGTATGATTCCATAGAACTATTGGGTTCCGGCCTGATTTAATGGGAATTTAGATTTTCCTTACACTATTCAGTTGGTAGAACTGTTCTAACTGTTGTTTCCAAATCCATTTGTTTTGGGTTTACGAGGTTATAGTTGTATTATGAGTTTTGGTTTAGGTGACGTTTTTTTGATGAGGCTTGCAGGTTTGTTTTTTTGGAGGATTTTTGAAAATGGTGCTAATATTAGCGCC